AAAGTGATGTACGCGAATGGCACTTAGCTTGAGTTGATGCGGCTAATCACTTTAATTGTTTCGTGGATGAATGCGTCTCCGTACAAAGAAGAACCACCTGAATTTCCTAAAGCTTATAATCAGTTATATAGGCTCATATTCGCAACGTTCTTTGCACCCATATCCTTTTGTTTACTTCCGCTTTGTTCTCCTTCTACGTATATCATGCGCCTTTCTGAAAAAAAGGCTAATATCAAAATCACTTTTGAATCGCTTATTTGGCTTTTGATTTGAAGTAAATTTCTTGTATAGCTCTAATAACGTAATCATAAAGTGCGTAACTACTAAATCCGGAAGAACGTTGTATTATCCGAGAAAAGAGGATTGTGTTAGGGTCGTTCATTGATCTAGGATTTCAAAGTACTGTTTTTCTTCAGAAAGAGACTTGGGGGACCTATCCTAGGAGGAAGGCAATAATAAGGTACAATGCTTTCGGAGACAATTTCAATTTTGGATTCAAACCCCGCAATCAATTCGCAATAATTAAGTTACCTATAAATTATGCAAAAGAATTAAAATTGCTTTCTGCTTGCTGAGTTAAGAGGAGATTTTGAATTGTGAATGGCAAGAATACCTCCCTCTACTTATATAAAATTTTCAAAATTAGCTTTAAACAAGACAGCGCGGTCATATCTTGTCTATCTTCTCTTTTTCAGGAGTATGCGTGGCCGGTGTGGTCGTCATCTTTGCCGACTCACTGCGAGCACGAGCATTTGCTGTAGACCAATTATTTGTTTTTCTTCTTCCTAAGCTTATTCCACTTGGATTGTTTTTTCAGGTGGGTAGACGACAACATCATGTTATTGTTCTCCTAACATTGCTTTTAGTTGTTTTTTGTCCAAACATTTTGCTGGACATGGATACATTGAGACAACAAGTGAGAGATACAAGTTTCTTTTTTCAGATGCTATCAGTCTACATTACGGTTCTGGCAGCGTTCGACTGTTTTATCTCAGTTTTACGGTAAAGAGTGGCGCATTGAAAATATTGTATAAGGATAAAAATAGTATAATTTTTAGGGGGCCACCATCTGTTAATTCACGATCCACATGGGCACCGAGGGTCTTGGCTGGTGTGGTTATAAGTGTAGCTGCCTACAATCTTATACAGTTCGCTGATCTCGAGGTAAACAACGATCATAGGAGATTTGACAAAATTCTATCATTGTAGCGTTAAAACAGTCTTTTTTACACAAAAATAGATTTGTTGTACATGAAAAACTTTAATCTGTAACTTATGTCTGGTAAACTAGAATAGCTAAGAAAGTATTGCAAAGGGGTTACGTTAAAATCAAAAAGAGGACCCATTAATTCATTAACTTGGGACATATAGAAAATATTGCAAAATAATATGTTACTGTTTTGCTGTTAAACTTCTGTTTGCGGAATTTTTGAGCTTAGTGATTTATTATTATATACTGTCAATCTAGATTCCCAATTGTAAATGGATATTTTTTTGACGATTGTAGTAGGATTACGGTGTAAACCCATAAGCGATTTTAACGCTAGCACTTTTGGTCTCAAACCTCACGGTATTAAATTATCATTTTTGGGCCCATAGAAGGAAGCAACCCCATCCAAAAAATTAAATGTTTTTATAACGATTTTTGGTAAAATGTCAGTAATGTTTTATGTTAGCGCTAGAGCCAAATGATTTAAATCTACGTAATGGTCGAAGGCACAAGATGTGTTTTTGTATGCTATTCTAAGTCCGTTTTTGAATTTGCCTCTGTATGGGACTAGAAGCAGTCGAAATTCAATAATTGGTAAAAGTCAAGAGCTCTTTTCTAAAGGTCACTGTAATCTTCTAATCCAGAATGTGAGGAATCTTGATCTCCTCTGCACGCCTTCAACAGAACTATTATAGAACTTTAACTAGGGCGAATGAAACCTTT